CAAGTTTAATAGCTCGGCCTCAGCCTTGAGCTCTAACTCAGGCCAGTGAAGGGCTTCAAAATTAAAGTTTGACCTCATCCTTGAGCTTCATCTCAGCCCAGCTAAGGGCTTAAAGTTTATTAGCTCAGCCTAGAGCTTCAACTCAGCCCAGAAAGATAGAATTGGAGAGATATGATTCTACCAAAATGGATCACATCCCAATCCGAAAAGACGAATTTGGAGAGATCGTGATCCTAGAAATGGATCACACCCCAATTTGAGATAAAAGAAAAATCGAGGTGGCATATGATATCGGGCTCCTATTCAAGATTTTGGCAACAAAGCCAAATGACAAAGTTTGTGGCCCAACAGGCCAGCCTCAAATTAAAGCGTTGCTCAAAGTAGAAAGCCACGGTATGCAAAGCCGGACTCAAACAAAATATGGCGAAAGTCAATGCTAAAAATATAAAACGACTATGGCTTAGTCACAAATACAAAAGCCACCGTATGGTAAGCAGAGTTCAAGAAGGTGAATACAACTTTCGCAAACAAGACTGTCATAAAGTCTAGTCCAATAGTAAAGCCACGGTACGTTAAGCCGGGCTAAAATCAGAAAGGCAAAGATACCGCCTTCAAAAGTGTAGACAAGGCAAAAGTCAAGTCAATTTAAAGAAAGCCACGATATGTGAAGCTGGGCTCAAAATGAAGAAGGCAGAAAACTGCCATAGTAACTTAAGACTACAACATCAAAGTCAAGTCGTTAAGGTTTTGGCCACAAAGGCCTAACAGGTTGGCCTCAAATTAAAAAGCCATCGCGAATGAAGCGGGTTTCAAAATAAAAGCCACGGTATACGTATTTGGGCTTAAAATCGAGGAGGCGAACCCCTCCTTCAAGAATCCAAGACTATGGCAAAAGAAGCTAAGTCCGTCAAAAACAAGAGAAGTCATGATATTCGAAGCCGGACTAATCGTTCAAGAAGGCACAAAAGACCTACCCAAAATTAAAATATAGGCAGCAAGCCAAATCCAAAAGGGGGAAACCGCAGTAAGAAAATCCGTGCTACCTAAAGTACAATAAACATTTGCAAAAGGGAAAATCCATGCTAATAGAGATCTCGGTATGCAAAACTGAGCCAAATCTGGAACCACGACCCTTAAAGCCAGGGAGTGCAAAGTCGGGTTAATTATTAAGGAGGCACGAAACGCCATCCTAAAACTTAGGTGGACGCTTATATAAAAGTCTGACAATAATCCTAGTCAAAACTAAAGAGCCTCGACAAGAGAAGCCGAGCTCAAAGTAAAAAAAAGGCAAACACCGACTCACCACTCAGAGATTTCAAGAGAAAAGAAGCCAATATAAAAAGATAAACCAAGAAGAGGTAGTCGCACCAGACCCAAGGCAGGATCATAGTACCTCGGTAGGGTCGACCTATCAATCAGACTTAGACATCTTGGCATTCCGAGCTTCGGAATACCGGGCTGGGGGGCAACTGTTATGGAATATATCAATATCCTAACCACCCACCCAAAGATCCCTCAAAGGATAATTACCCAATTATCTTAACAGTACAAAATAATAAAGCCAATCAGGATAAAAACTCTATCCCAACATAAGAGGAGTTGAATCCTACCACAACTGAGAGATCTATACAAACCCTAGAGATAACCCTTATAAATAAGAGGCTAAAGACCCTAGGTACACACTTTTGACCTATTTACTATTACTGTCAACATTGTGCATACATCCACGTCTTGACTATAAGCCTATTGCTCGTGCGCAGTGATTGAAATATTGGCTATATATAAATCAATCTGAATAATATCTCTAGAGTATCTCTGAGCGCATACCATACGGTATAGCAATACGGTTCTCTAAGACCGAACAATGTCAAAAACACTAGCTCACACAAAACATTCATATATCTTGATCTGTTTTACGTTGACCACGAATTTCGATAATAGATCTAACATATGCTTCACGTTATTTATATTTTGTTATCATTTTCCTATATCATCATGCACGTGCAGAACGCAAATGCAGCTAAAAGCATGTGAGACAAAATAGGGTTTAAACAGTACCTAGAGGCAAGTGGACCATGTATATCACCTTTCATGTGGAGGATATTTATTCACGAGATGAAAGCAGATGAGAAAGCAATATATCGGGTCCTCTCTGCCTTAGGAACATTATTAAATTATAGTGTTTATAATGTATTCCTATTTGATAAATCGGGATGTCCATATGTTGCATTTATGTGTTCTCTAGGTATCTAAGATATTTTTGATATTCAGATCCATAACACGATGCTATAGAAATTGTGCCAGGAGGCTCATGTGTTCAGATAACTCTAATTCAGTTTTTTTTCTTCCAAGTTAAATTTATGAAAAATATGTCTTTTCAGCCGCTATAGAGACACTATTCCGTGCAACAGTCACACGTTCAAGATACGGTTCACTTCGAGAATTGTATTCTATGGGATGGGTTCACTTGGTCATATTTTTTAATCGTGGTAACTGCATGAATCAAATTCAGAATCTGCTATTGATAGACAATCTGTAATCTTACTATAAAACTGTATCTGAATATGATAGTTTGCTCTAACTTTATAATACGAGTCTCACTTTACCTTGAATCTTTTTGTACTAAAAAACTAAATTATTTAAATGACATTATTATGTCAAATATTACATTTTCCGAACAGTTTGATTAAAAAATTACTATAATATATAAATGAACCAGACATTAAATTAATTAAGTCTCTCACGGGGAAGTACAAATAAAGTTAGCAATCAACTGTGCATTTCTTTCATTTTTCTTTCTTTTCCTTTCACGTTCTCCAAATGTAATGTAGAAGCAACTTCACTTCCTCCAAAGGGCCTCAACAGACATCTCCATTTATTTAATATGAAGACCTGGGATAAATTAGAAGTTATAAGTATTACTCTCCATCACTATTAACGTGCCACTTCCAATTTAATAGGAGATTCACACATTCAGATTGTTTTAAAATTTAATTTTTTCCCCTATAAACAAACGATGATAGAAGACAAAGTAAAGGACTGACTAAAATTAAAGTGTAGCAGTTTACTAAAAAATAAAAATAAAAATTAAAGTGTAGCAAAAAGAGAGTACTAACTAAAAATCATGCCAAGTACTAGCTAAAAATCACGCCATGCTGCGCCTGCTTCCCATCATTTTCCTTTTAACCTTTTTTTTTTTTTTCACATTGTATTCTGGATTTCTGGTGTCGATGCAAAATCTTAGTCCCTTGTAAAATATCTATGTTTATAAATTTCCTGCCGACACTTGAGTACTGTTGTTAATCTAAGGTCACAATCACAAAACATTGGCCATACATTCCGTTGTATCTGTGGAGCCATGATATGCACGTGATCTATAAAGATATATACACGAAAAAGAAATTTGTGTAAAGAATAATCGATATGATCGTGTTAATGTCTTCAAACCTAGAATTCTTAAATATTAAATTGTTTTGAGAAGACAAAAGTTATAAGGTTCATGAAAATATTTATGTATAGGGGGAATTAACTTCATACAGTAGAATGGTGATATATATTTCAAGTACCGAACTTTTAATCTTGGGTTCAAACACCACCACTTTTAATTATTGCAACTGACATCCATTGGGTATGAGAATCTTTATATATACAATTAGTAGATCTCTTTGGCATTTATTGAAATAATTTGATGTATATATTCAACTGCATAATGAAAGAATCTAGGGCGTGTAAGAACCATTTCCCTATTAGAAAAGACAACATCAACAACGGACATATTGCCTACCAAATGTATAACAGTGTGGTACTGAATACAATCGGTGGGAAAATATAACCCAAACCACAAACCATAAAATAAAATAAAGCACAAAGGAAACACATTTTGCTCACCAAAAAAGGCAAATTCAAACTATATATAACATCCACAAAAAAATAAAAATAAAGAAAGATAGAAAGAAAAAAAATTGTGGTGAGTATAAATCAGGTTGATAATATCGATTGATTTTTTTTTTTAATTATTAAAATGTATGATAGGATATTATTGAAAATCAACAAATGGTGGTGATAAAGTGATGAGTTGTAAAAACTATTATGTACGAAAAAAAGTTCAAATTAAAAAAATATCATTGAAAAACACCAAATAATTATGACAAGGTGATATCAAGCAACATAATTGAAAAAATACCAAATGGTGATGACAAGATGATTAGTTGTAAAAGTAATAATGAAACAATATCATTGAAAAATATCAAAAGAATTAGTCGTAAAAGCAATAATAAGGAAAAAAATGTCCAAAAGTAATATCAGTGTCTCCTTGTCTAAAGGAAGAATGTGTAACGAATGTTACAGAGAAGAAAAAATGCAGGAAAGTGGAAAGAGGAAGAAAGAGAGAATTCAAGGAAGAAGGAGAGACGAGGGAGAAAAGTTTCCAACAATTTTCTGATATCTTTTATTAACAGCCATACACCTACTTATACCCATGAGGGTTGTTACAACAGAAAAATCTATTACAAACAAGGAATTAAAATAAGGACACTATTATAAGGACTTGTTATTGAGATACACTCATTACCATTACATTCCATCCCCCCTTTAGACCAACCTTGTCCTCGAGGTTGAGTTGCTTTACCGCTGGGATCAAATATGAAACATTGAGCAACAATGCATGGACAAATAAGTGTACAAGACAGATAGGAAAACTTTGCACCTCCAAACCCTTCAAGGGGAAAGTCAGATACCAATTAAGTTCAAATAGAAATATCATGTTCAACAAATATTCCAACTTGCACTTCCACCAAGACATTCCATTGTCCTATCTCACCTATGAGTAAAGGCAACAAAAAAAATGACTAGCCAGGTTGCATGAGCAAAGAAATTGATTCAACAACTTTCTCCAGGGATTATTTGTTCAAGTAAGGAGGATCTGCAATTATAACCTTGCATAAATACTTTAATACGAAAGGTAACTCTTCAGGGTCTTCTTGTCGTTTAACACCTACAGATTAAAGTTTGCGCTTAGCAAACTTATCAAGCACTGCCTGAACCTTTCTACTAACATCCTCTATGCATTTGCAAAGAGGGAATACCATATTAGGAGTCTCTTTGTTAACTTGATGCAAAAATTGATTTCCATTGAAATCCATGTAGATTAGAACATCCTGAATTACAGTCCTATGAGCTCTAGCTACTATAAAGATAATGTGCCCCTCCTCAACACCTTGAGCCGAAACCTCAATCAAGTTTATATCAATATGTAGCTCATCCAAGGTGAGAGATTCAATTTCATCACTGAAAGGATGACCATGATATATGCAGCACACAATTGTGTGGCAGTATGTGCATCTGAGCTAATCGCTCCAGCAATAATAATCTTTTGCCCAAGTTGAAATTGATTCATGATTAGAGAAAACCAAATATATGCAAGAGATAAATCCTCAGCTAGAAATTGTAGAGATATAAGGAACCATAAGGTTTCACATTCCATTGTAAAAAAAGCTAATTCAAGGCACTCTTGTGGCAGTTCCTTAAAGAGAAAATCTTCTACATGTAGTTGCTGCACATTTGTCAAGCTTATGGGTATTCCTCTCCGAAAATAAGGCAAATAATTTTCTAAGATATGAAACATAACTGAAATAACCCGAACAGAAGTATAGTGATAACCAATCAAACCACTAAAAGTTGCACAAGATTTTTTGATAGTGGTCAATCCTGACCTCCTCAAAGTGATCAAATTCACTCCTTGTTCAAATAAACTTCCATAAATTCAAGAATTTATCATGCCCTTGAGTGTATCGGTGGCCATGTATATAGCCTCGATATGCTCATATGCCAAATTATCTGTGAGCGCTTTAAAAAAGAAAGGAAGCTTAATCACCAATACTTGCTTGTTGAGAGAGTAAACTTCATTCATTCCAGCATCAAGCAAGAGAGTAGTAAATGCCATTTCAGTTCCAGACAACTCATGTAATAAGAAGGGAAGATCCAACAAGCATAAAAACACAAGAAATGCTTTTGGGAAAAACTCTGATGTAGGTTAAAGATAAATTTTTTTGCAAATCATCTGTTATACGCCCTATCATTAGGTGTTGATGTAAATCCAAGAGAGTTGTGAAACATTTGAAAATGTTGTGCTTGTATTTCAGTGACAAAAAAAAGACAATCCCTCAAGGCAAAAGGAATATCCTGAATATGTTGGGCTCCTGTGGTGAAAAATTGCTATTGCTTAACAACATAGTAGTACGAAAAGACAAATGAGATGGTCCAATCAATGTTACCAGATTCATTGCCCACTCAAACTCCAGCATCTCGTTCAACTGCATCCCACTGCATGATGACCATGTCGTGCCATTTCACTGCAACTGTAGGTTGACTGAAGTTACCACAATCTTTGAAATGGACACCAAAACACGCATTCGACTAGTCGTTGGAGAATGGAACACAACATGCTTTACTTTCGCAATGACCTGTTGATGCCAGAAATTTCTACATTCATGAGATGTGTGCATCATTAGGTTTTTCTCAAGTCCCATGTTCGACATTTTATCAAACACTTGAGTTGTAAGCTCAACAGCTCCAGATCTGACAGAAACGTGGTGAGTAAGTGGTAGTGATCTCAAAGAGTCGGTCCAGCAGGATTTTGGTGGACTATCAAAATCCAAACGCGAGTCACGATGTGTTGAAGGAAGGAACTCTAGAGTTACATGTTACTGGGACTGAGAGGTTAATGGTGGCAATGGAAACATCTGAGTTTGGAAGTTGACGGTGGTCACACCAGAATCCCGATCCATTAAATCTTGTTTGGATATACTAGAAACTGGTTTCGTGGACCCCATTGATGGTGGTGAGGCATCGATCCTTGGAACCCAGGGTGGAGCTGCTGGCGGAGGAAGAACAACAGCGATCCAGAAGTCATGGGAACCCCGCTCGGGGTTTAATAGAGAAGGAATAGTGTGTTGATCGTGTGGGTCAACAAGGATACCATGGTGGGAGGCCTGACGAAATGGCGGAAGTCTTAGAATATCGACAAAAGTGGGCAGAGTTGGGGCTATGGTGTATCATGCCACAATGGTTGGGATCTACTGCAGAGTATATTGGCAAAGCTAGCTGGCATAGAGTAAGAACGAGTGAACATGTTGCTCTTTGAAGAAGGGTCCGTTTCTAGTGGATGAAATGTCCGGTTCGAAAAATAGTCACGGAATATTGTTTGAATCTTGATAGAAGCTTGTTCTTCGTTTTCATCAATCATCTCCTGGAGCAAACACTTAATATTTTCACAAATGGCGTCTATAGTAGCAAAAATAGCATGCAGCGCAGCATAGGTATGCTTGACTTGTTGAGCATAAAAAGGAGGGTGGTGTTATGGAGGGTAGGGTCATCGATGAAAACACCATTGTAATGCATGTTACAGAGAATAAGAAATCCAGGAAGAAGGACAGAAGAGGAAAGATAGAATTCAAGGAAGAAGGAGAAATAAGGGAGAAGAGAATTAAAATAAGGACACTACTATAAGGATTGGTTATTGAGATACACTCATTACCGTTATAGAATGCATATAAGGTTTTAATAGAAGTTCGAGGAGAAAAAATTTGGAAAGAGTAAGAAGCAAATGGTGAGAGTGGAGAAAAATAGAATAATAAAAAAAAAACACTAACAGATTGGAAGAAAGTTCTTAGCAAGTAAGTATTTATTCAAAATCTTTATACCAATTGGTAGTCTTAACTCCTACCTTGTCTCATCAACATTTAGATGAGTGAATAGTGGGGACTATACCATGTGCAAAATTTATTTTGAATATAATAGTTTTATTAATGAAAAGGTGCAATGTTATTTACTTAATTATTTTTAAAGGACGAGGTAACATAAAATAGAGTTGGGTGTTTGCTTTCTTTAATGGTTTTGTTGGTAATGTTTATGTTGATTATGATGATATTTAATAAATATATTGGTTTAGATGATATTGAGAAATGTCATGACTTGGGTTTTGTGAATTTACGAAATTTATGTCTATGATTGATTTTGCCTTATGAAATGTATATATGAAAATTGTTTTCGGAGAACAATGTGAGCCAACGACAGTAAATGTTAGCCTTGGTGCATCATGACTTGTCTAAAGGCAAGGAGCCTATCCTTGATTTATTTCAAGATATGGAGTCTGGTATTGTGATCACATTATATCTACAAGTGGGGAGCCCACGATTGGTATGTTGTAGTTCTATTTGAGTATATCTCAACTTGAATACGCATATTATTTTAGTACAATATTGATTTTTTTATATAAATTGAATTTGATTTGGAATTTTAATTTTTATCTTTATAATTTGGATTAAATATATTTTTATATGTTTCAAAGTCCCGCTTGCTATAGCTCTCATTATTTGCTCACTGGGTTGCATCGCAACTTACTCAAATCAAGGTTATATATTTTGAGATAAAAAAGAGATAGTGTCTGAGTCAACTCATCCAATTTAATCGAGCAAGTCTTCTTGCTTCCTAGTGGTGAGCTTGACACTTTGTTCATGTGGGCAAAAATTTAAATTATAAATTAGTATTATGTACTTTAAATGTTTATTATGTTATAGAGTTGCTCCATTATTTCTACAAGTCTGTTGTGTTGTAAACTTGATAAATCTTATATATGTTCTGATTTGAATTATTATTGTTAAATGTATCATAGCGATAATTACATTTGTCAGGCTATTTGATGATAGGTTTGTGTGTCATGACTCAAAATTTGGGTTGTGACATTAACCAAATTAAGTCATTAACAATAGAAACAAATAACATTACAATCATTACAAGCTTACCAAGTTCGACAAAAGAATCTTTTATACTCGGTTATATATGAGGAACAATGAGCAATGTTCCATGTTTTTGGCATTTATATAACAAAATGCCACGCGAACAGTAAAATTTACAAAACTGCCACGTATTGAAGTTCGCTACGACTGGTAGCAGAACTTGGTAGCCAATGATTTCTTGACACGTGGCACACTTTCGCATAAAAAGTTGAATGTCACGTGTCCAAGTTCGCTACGACTGGTAGCAAACTTGGTAGCCAATAATTTTGTGATAGCACACTTTCGCAAGAAAAGCTGACTGGACTAGGTTCGTTACTAGGGGTAGCAAACTTGGTGTGCTATGTGGCACAATCTCGTTGTCAGATCAGATTAATGTATCAATCACAATAAAAAAAAAGTGAAGGAAAAAGACTATTTAATTAATGTATCAATCTCGTTGTCCAAGTTCGCTACGACTGGTAGCAAACTTGGTAGCCAATAATTTCGTGATACGTGACACACTTTCGCAAGAAAAGCTGACTGAACTAAGTTCGTTACTAGGGGTAGCAAACTTGGTGTGCTATGTGGCACAATCTCGTTGTCAGATCAGATTAATGTATCAATCACAATAAAAAAAAAAGTGAAGGAAAAAGACTATTTAATTAATGTATCAATCACCAGTCACAATCTTTGCCCAATCACCAATTACAAATAATTTTGATCACAATTAATGTACCAATCACAAATCACATTTAATTTTGATTGGTACATTAATTGTGATTAGGGATTTGCTGTGAAACACGGACTCGTGTTTTTGTGTGAATTGTGCGTGTCGGACACATGTCTGACACGCTTGGACACGCGTCCGACATGCGGTCAATATTTTGGGACACGTGGTCAACTCTCGGACACGCTCCGACACGTTTTTTGGACACGCAGTCAACTCTTTCCGACACGTAATCAACGCTCGGACACGTTCTTTTTTTTTTTAATCTTAATTTTATTTTATTAACTAAAAATAAAAATAAATCATTTATAAATCAATTTTTTTCTATTATGAAATTTGACATGAAAAATTAACAAGGTACGAAAAATTATTTTTGTTTGTATTTATTTATGAAATTTAAATATTTGATTGGTTATATGAATGTTACGATGCGAAGGTCCACGAGGAGTAGGAAGCGTTCATCTATGCTGACAGACTTTGTAGCGTGACTTATACTTCATGCTTCCATTTGTAATGCTCTGTTAGTTGGTTACTCCACGTGTACAGATTGCATGTCCTTATTAGTCGGTTAGTTAGTTAAGCTACACGTGCGTGTGTAGTTGTCAATTGGGTATATTGGAAGGATTATAAATAAGAACTGTAAAGAACTATGGATTCATTCATTCAAGATCAATAAACTGAATTTCATTCTCTTCTTTTATCTCTGTCCTGTTCTTCCTTAGGTTTTAGAAACCTAACATTGGTGCTTTCATCCATTCTCCTATTCTTCTTCCATGACGAGGATTCAAGAATTATCGGAGGAGTTGCATTCACTTCAGCAACGAGTGGACTCGAACTTGGAGGAACTTCGCATGCAAGCGACAGTTCAGGCTAATGAAACCAGGAACCAGTTTTCCTTACTGGTTTTACAGATGCAACAATTGCAGGAAACGATTATGGCTAATCAAACGCCTAAGCATGGTAATTCACACAGCAATAATTCTCTTGTTTCGCACAATTACACCAAATCAGATTCCATAGATCATCGTTCCTTACTCAAGGGGGTTCGCATGGAGATACCGATTTTCAATGGTACTGATCCTAACAACTGGATTTTTAAAGCAGAGTTGTTCTTTACTCTTCAGTTGATTCCCGAGGAAACAAAGGTTGCTTTGGCTGGGTTGAAGATGGAAGGCATGGTTGCCTCTTGGTTTCAATGGACTTTCAACAATGGTAAGGCTCGTGCATGGTCTTATTTTGTTTCTGCTCTTCGCCAGCATTTTGGCATGTCTGGCTTTACAAATTTAAAAGGAGCTTTATCCAAATTGACTCAAACATCTTCCCTACGTGCATATATTCAACAATTTGAGGCATTGGTTAATCAAATTCCTGAACTAGATGATGATCTTTTAATGAACTTTTTTGTTTCGGGTCTCCAATCTGAATTACGTAGTGCGGTCCAATTAAAGGAACCTATATCCTTAGACCAAGCCATTCAGCTGGCTATGGCTTATGATGATCATTTTACTGATCTCAAAACTTCGTTCCAAGGTGCACCTAAGAAATTTTTTCAGAAACCTGTGTCTGGCTTAGATAGCTCTTCTGTGTTGCCCAATAATTCCATCCCTCATTCTGGAATTTCGAATACACAGAGATTGGCCTTACCAGCTCCTACCCCAATGAAACGTGTGTTGAATGCTGATTTACACAAGAGGAGAGAATTGGGCCTTTGCTATACATGTGATGAGAAATGGAATTCTAAGCACATTTGCAAGAATAAATTGATGTTATTGTTTGGTGAGGATGATGTTGTTGATCAGGCAGTAGAGGAGGAACAAATTGTTTGGCAAGTTGATAACTCTGTTGGAGAAGCAAAGGATGCTTCACTTCATACCTTGAGGGATACTACTCACTACCGTGCCTTGATGTTTAGTTCAACATTTGCAGGTATGGATTTCTCTATTTTAGTTGACTCAGGGAGCACCCATAATTTCATACAACATCAGTTAGCTGTGAAACTAGCCTTGCCTATATCACATTCTCACCGAATTCGTGTGTTTCTGGGTAATGGGGATGTTATGCATTCTGATAAAAAATGTCTCAAGGTACCATTACTGATTCAAGGTCATAAGTTTGTCTGTGATCTGTGGGTTCTGGATTTATCTGATATAGACATCATTTTGGGTATGCCATGGCTGGAACGGCTGGGAAAGGTTACTCATGATTATATCAGTAAGTCAATGGAGTTTTGGTGGGAAGAAAATTCAATTGTCTTGCAAGGTCATAATCCCACTGATGTCTCTGCTAAATTGAATACAATTCTGTCCCAAGAGTGGGCTGGCTGTCATGCCTTACAAACAGAATCAGATTCTTCTATACAGGTTACAATACTACCTGAGTTACTCAAAATGCAATCTGATCTCCATCCCCTTCTTTGGCCTATATTTTTGAAATTTCAGCAGGTATTTGCACTTCCTAGTGGATTGCCACCTTTTAGAGGATTGGATCATTCCATCCACTTAGAGCCAGGTACCAAACCTGTTAATGTTAAACCATACAGATATGGTCATGGTCAAAAATCTGAAATTGAAAAACAGGTCTTTGAGCTTCTAGCTTCGGGTTTCATCCAACATTCTCATAGTCCATTCTCTTCACCAGTCTTGTTAGTGAGAAAACAAGACAACTCTTGGAGGCTTTGCATTGATTATAGAGCTCTTAATGCAGTCACCATTAAAGATCGATTCCCTATTCCTACTATTGATGAATTGTTGGATGAGCTAGGGGGTTCTACTATTTTTTCTAAATTGGATTTAAGAGCGGGATACCACCAAATTAGGATGTTGCCTGCTGACACTCATAAGATAGCATTCAGGACACATGATGGTCATTTTGAATTCTTGGTCATGCCATTTGGTTTGACAAATGCACCAGCCACTTTTCAAGCGATCATGAATCATCTCTTCAAACCTTATCTCAGGAGATTCATTATAGTTTTTTTTTTATGACATTTTAGTCTTCAGTAAAACTATTGAGGAGCATGTTCAGCATTTGGAACTAGCTCTCCTTACTTTACAGCAGTATGCTTTTGTGGTTAAGTTGTCTAAATGTGCTTTCGGACAGAGGTCTATCGAATATTTGGGCCATGTGGTCACTGATAGTGGGGTTATTGCTGATCCTAGGAAGATTTCAGCCATGCTTCAATGGCCTACTCCCAAAACTATTAAGCAATTGAGGGGCTTCTTGGGGCTAACTGGTTATTACAGAAGATTTGTGAAAGGTTATGCTTCCTTAGCTCTTCCCTTAACAAATCTATTAAAAGGATCATCTGTTTTCCAATGAACACCAGCAGCTGATACAGCTTTCTCGGAATTAAAGGTTGCTATGTCTCATACACCTGTATTGCAGCTGCCCAATTTCGAGGAGATATTTGTTGTTGATACTGATGCATCGAATTTTGGTGTGGGGGCTGTGTTACTCCAAGGTGAAAAACCTATTGCTTACTTCAATAAAAAGCTTGGACCGAGATTAGCTAGTTCTTCTACTTATATCAGAGAACTTTATGCTATCATTGCTGCTGTGAAAAGATGGAGACAATATTTGCTTGGGACCAGATTTATTATCAGAACTGATCATAGAAGCATTAAAGAACTCCTCACTCAAACTATTCACACTGCTGAACAGCAAAAATATTTGTGCAAGTTGATGGGATATTCTTTTCATATAGAATATAAACCAGGCCATGCTAACACAGTGGTTGACTCTTTATCTAGAGTGTTTGATGAGGAGGGTGCCGTGTGTGTATCCCTTTCCGAACCTGAATTTGATTTGCTTGCTGAGATTAAGAGTCAAAATTTACAAGATCCCCATTTACTTACTCTGCATCAACAATTACAGGAAAACCCGAATCATGATCCTGATATGACAATTCGGGATGGTATTATCTTTTACAAAGGTAAATATCTCCTTACTTCCTCCTCATCCTTAGTGCCTGTGCTGATTAAAGAGGCTCATTCTTCTCTAATTGGAGGACATGCTGGTGTCTTAAGAACCCTGTTGAGACTATCAGCCACCTTCCATTGGCCATCAATGCGGAAGGATGTCAAACAGTTTGTACAACATTGTTACATCTGTCAACAGGTGAAATATGAACCTTCCAAAGTAGCTGGGCTGCTGCAACCTCTTCCAATTCCTGAAGGCATTTTTGAGGAGCTTTCTATGGACTTTGTTACTGGTCTTCCTCCTTCGAATGGCTTAACCACTATCTTGGTTATAGTAGACAGATTGTCTAAATTTGCTTACTTTGGTTCCTTACCTACTTCTTATACTGCCTTTACAGTAGCCACCTTATTCTGTGACTTGGTAGTTAAGATACATGGCTTTCCTCGTTCTATTCTAACTGATAGGGATCGCATCTTTTTGAGTCAATTTTGGAAGCACCTTTTTAAATTGAGTGGTACTACCTTAAGAACAACTTCTTCCTACCATCCACAATCTGATGGTCAAACAGAAGTGACCAATCGTTACCTGGAGCAATACTTGCGCTCTTTTTGTGGAGATCAACCTCGTTCCTGGAGTAAGTTTTTGTGTTGGGCTCAGTATCACTACAATTCAGCAACCCACTCAGCTATAGCTATGTCTCCTTACCAGGCAGTATTTGGCAAACCACCTCTCATGATCCCATTTTATCCGAGAGGGTTAATTAAGTTGGAGGCCATTGATTCTATGTTGCAGATCAGAAATGAAGTCTTAGCTCAACTCAAACTTCATTTACAAAGAGCTCAGAACCGTATGAAGGTCCAGTATGATAAACATCACAAGGAACACTCCTTTCAAGTGGGTGATCTGGTTTGGGCACGTCTGAAACCTTATAGGCAAGTTACTGTGGAAAGAAGATCTAATCACAAGTTTGCTAAAAGATTTTTTGGTCCATTTGAGGTCTTGCGTGCTTTAGGTAAGACGGCTTATGAATTGCAATTGCCTCTTGGAAGTCAAATCCATCCAGTGTTCCATGTTTCACAATTGAAACCTTGTGTTGGTCCCAAGCCAGTGGTATCCAATCCTCTTCCACCCTTAGCTATGGATAACAAGCCTATTCAAGTTCCTGTTGCTGTTCTAGACACAAGGTCAGTTGATTGTCATGGCCAATCTTTCCGAGAGTTTCTTGTTCAATGGTCCAATACAGTCCCAGAAGATGCTTCTTGGGAGAGGGAATCCGACTTGCTTCGTTGTTACCCAACCCTCAACCTTGAGGACAAGGTTGTTGTTGAAGGAGAGGGCAATGTTACGATGCGAAGGTCCACGAGGAGTAGGAAGCGTTCATCTATGCTAACAGACTTTGTAGCGTGACTTATACTTCATGCTTCCATTTGTAATGCTCTGTTAGTTGGTTACTCCACGTGTACAGATTGCATGTCCTTATTAGTCGGTTAGTTAGTTAAGATACACGTGCGTGTGTAGTTGTCAATTGGGTATATTGGAAGGATTATAAATAGGAACTGTAAAGAACTATGGATTCATTCATTCAAGATCAATAAACTGAATTTCATTCTCTTCTTTTATCTCTGTCCTGTTCTTCCTTAGGTTTTAGAAACCTAACAGACCTATTATAGACTGTTATATCTATTAAATATAAATTATATTATATATATTAAAATTTTTATGTAATATCAAAACGTGTCCCAACTTGTCGAAATATGTCATTTTTTAGAATTAACGTGTCGGCGTGTCGTATCGTGTCCCGTATCAGTGTCCGTGCATCATAGGGGATTGATACATTAACTGTGATTGGTGATTGGTACATTAATTATTTGTTATACCATTATTACAAATTCGAACGATATTTGTGAGATATAAAATATGCCAAATAAAGTGTCATTGCGTTGATCTCGAAAAATTATATGAAATAAAATAAAAAAATCATCTGATTTAGATATCCGAATCAAAAGTTATGACCTTCTGAAGTGATTGGTGATTGTTACATTAATTGTGATTGAGATAATAAAAAAAGTTAATCATATTGGTACAATAATTGTGATTGGTGATTGATACATTAATTAAATAGCTTTTATCCTTTGTTTTCTTTTTTTGATTGTGATTGGTACATTAATTTTGATCGGGCAACTAGATTGTGCCACATAACACACCAATTTTGCTAACCATGTTAGCGAACTTAATCTAGTCGGTTTTTTCTTCGAAAGTGTGCTACATATCACGAAATTATTGACTACCAAGTTCGCTATTAGTCGTAGGCCGTAGCGAACTTGGACACGTGGTAGTCAGCTTTTTCAGCAAAAGTATGCCACGTGTCAAGAAATCATTAGCTATCAAGTTCCCTACCAATCGTAGCAAACTTCAACGCGTGGCAGTCTAATAAAAAATATTATTCACATGATAAATTGATAAAAATATTGCTAAAAAACGTGAGAGTCTGATCAGTGTTCGTATATTTGATCCTTTTCGATCTTTTACATAATAGATCTTTGAAATGGAAATTAAACGAAAGCTATAAGAGAGTAGCATAAATTAATGGTAGAAATTAACTCATCTGACACATTGATAAGCTCCTCGTACGGCCCTAATTTAATTTTTGAAAACCTAAATCCCTAATTAGAACCATATTGTATGAATATAAAGTCAAAGAAACAAATTAAAAATTGAATAAAGTAGTTCTCACCGCAAGTCAAAGATGAACAAACTGAAATCGGGCATTTCATCATCACACCTTTGTCATTGTACACGAGTGCACATTGCCCTTGAACTCTATTGACACCGAAGGAAAATCACTTCTGGACAAAATGTGGAGATAGGTTGATGATGAACGTGTATCGGAGTTTAAGGATGTAAGAAATGGAGAGTGCAGCAAGCTCATAGACAATGTAAGTCTTCAACAAATGAAAGATACACAAATATAAGACTAAAGTTATACATTAAATTTGTCCAAATATATTTTAGATAATATTTTTGTTCAACGACGAACATATCCCGTTTGAAATATTATTATTCACCGACAGGCGTGACATCTATCAAAGCCATCCACGGGTTTAGGTCCGTCAAAATGCTAGGCCAATTCAACAACGAAAAATTTGATGCACCTTCTATTTACAGATATGGATCCTTTCATATTAAAAAAAAAAAAACATGATCTTGTGAGAAATCATAATTATACAAAGATAGATCAATAATAATAAATAAAAATAAAAAAATATTAAAATAGATAGTTGCAAAATCATAACTATTAATTCATTTCTGTATAATTGTAATTTTTCCATATAACCATATAATATTTTGTGTGTATAATTATTACCATATATCGACAGAATTATGGACAGAAAACATCTCCGATGGAATATTCTATCCGTAAAGCAATTATTAAAACTAAAAGCTCAAATCAATTAGTGTTTCCATCTATATTTTGGACGAACGTTTTTATCCGTTGATAAAGTCCTCCAGTGATCCTGAATTTTTTAATAGTGTTTTTTAATAACAAAATTAACATTACATCAATTAATTATGTAAAAGGTTTTGGTTCAAAATATGTATTGCTTGATTAACAGATTAATAATTAATCACGATAACGGATTTTTAGTTAGTTAACCAAATAATATACATTGCTATCTATAAAATTGTCAAATTATTTTTCAATAATTCATAGATTTCTCATTGAATTACAGTCTCTCTCTCTCTCTCTCTCTCTCTCTCTCTCTCTCTCTATTTTTCTTTGGTTCCTTGATTAATCCACTAATTACTTGACCAATCTAATAGGGTATGAACCCTAATGGCAGAGGAAGAACAGAGAAATTGAAAGGAAAACTCAAGGAATTTTTATTAACTGCTATAATAGGCTTTGTTCAAGTATATTTATACAATTCCCTTTACATCTGTATGACACTTAAGGCTATGTATCTATTGACACTCACCAGCAACTATACACACGGAAACAATTAACAAAGCAACTAACAGAAGCTGTTGTCACACGTGGCCTACTTCAAGAGCCTTAAGCCACATAGTCTTGTAGACGTGTTGCACTCCTTTTAACTCTAGTTGATCTTCTCACTGTGATATTCGTAACATTCCCCTCCCCTTGACAAGGAACCTTGTCCTCAAGGTTCAAGTGGGGGATAGCACTGACTGAACTCAGCAAGAGGCTCCCAAGAGGCATCCTCTGGCACTGCATCAGACCACTGCACCAACACCTCACATTGCTGAACAGTTCCATCATTAACCAAACGAGATGCTAGCACTGCCAATGGCTCCTGCACTAGTTGATTATCAATGGCTGCTGCTGGTAGGGAAGCTCCCACCCAAGAACTGGAAAAGTAAGGAGACATGAAACACATGGT